ATACTTAGGAGCCCATAGCCTAATAGGTTTAGTACAGTAGGCCCTAGTTTACGCCCCAGTCGGATGCAAAGTTGATTGTTTCTTTTTGCTGTTGGACATTCCCTTCGAGGTACCTTGGGAAACTCATTGAATAAAGGAGACGCAGAAGGAGTTATCAGAAAAAGTCTTTTCTCCTCAAGCCTAATGGCTTTCATTCTTAAACTCTTTTCCCATCATTTGACTGAGATTTTTCAGATAAATTCTAATTCGGTTTTTTCTATGGTTTCACTGAGACTTTTATAAATCATCATGTAAATGTTTATTGAGCACTTATGCTGTTGTTAGGCACTATACAAGACTTTGGGGATACAGCAGTGCTAAAAAGACAGTTTCCTTGTCCAAAATTAGTGAGGAAGACAGCGGCCAAACAAAAATTAATGGCAATGTTACTCGTTCTTTTAATCCCTCTCTAAATTAAGTCTTCATTAGTCATGTTTTGTGTGTTTATTCCGTCACCTCTTTCCATTCTACCTGTGGATTAGAATAAGTGTATATTCTCTTATCATTATTATTATTATTATTCACTGAAGCACTAATAAGTCTCTGTCCAATACTCATGAGTGGTGCTTTTGACCAACTAGATGTGAATTTTATATTGTAATTCTTCAATATATAGCAATGTAACCATACCTTTCAGCCAACAGTGTTGTGTGTCCACCAAACAAAGCGTTGTGTCTTGTTTTTTATTTCCATTGAAATTTTCAGTATAATTTAGCGGTATAGTCTTCTGTAGATACTTAGTTTTTTGTTGTTGTGAACTTTTCCAGTGTAAATCAATAAATAGTAATGACAACCATCATTTTAATGAGTGTTTCGACTGAGCCAGGAATGAGGTTTTAGTGCTTTAAGTACAGATTTCCTGTAATATTCTGCAAGTATTGGTACTTGATATTTTCTGGTTAAAGAAAGTGGGGCTCAATGAAGTTTGGTAAGACTTTAGGGCCTTGATCAGTAAATTTTGGAGCTGAGATTCATGTCCAGGTCTGTCTCATTGCATTCCTGAGCTCTTAANTTGTCAATTGTACCAGTAATATCCTGTTAGGCAAATTTTTCTTTTTTCAAGAACCAATCCAGGATCACTGATTGCATTTAGTGATATATCTTTCTTTCCTTTAATTTAGGACAGATCCTTGGCCTTTCATGACACAGGCATTTTGTTTTTTTGTTTTTTTTAAATATAGGCCACTTTATTTTATAGAATGTGTCTCAATTTTTTAAATGTTTTATCATGACAGGATTTAGATTGTGCATCTTTTCTGGATTAGTACATAAGTGAGATCTAGGTTATGTACTTCTCAGGCGATTGCTTTTAAAGGCACGCTGTATCTATCAGCCACTTACTGGTAATATTAATTCTAATTGCTAGTCCAAGTGTTGTGGTTTCTCTACTATATAGTTATATTTTCCCTTGAACAATTGTTGTCTATTTAACAAACAACTAACATAAGAGGCTGAGACCATGCAAATATGTTTCTCATCCAATTTTCCCTCTTGGATTTAGCATCAGTAGATGATTCTTGTTCAAAAGAATTGACAGTTGTAAAATGATGATTTATTAATTGGCATTCTACTGTAAGGAAGAGCCTTCCCTTCTTTCCCAACAATCAATCTCTTCTCTCCTTCCCCCTGTCTCTACCCATTTATCCATCCATCCGTCCATCTTCCATCCTCATGGATGGACTCATGGATTCCTATTATATTCAGTGCATTATAATTCTGTACTGTACCATATCTTACTTTTGTCTACTTTGGAACTTGTTACAAATAGAACCATGAGGTTTGTATGTGTCCCAGTTCTCTCACTCAACATGATTTTGAGATTCATATATGTTTTGACCTCTGTATATAGGACAGTTTTTTTTTTTCATTCACTCACTGATGGACATTTGGGGTGGTTCCAGTTTAGGGCTCTTATGAACAAAGAGCATCATTAATATTCTTGGAAAAGTCCTTTTTGGACATGTTTTTAATTTTCTTGCTAGGTTTTAGGTTTCTTGCTGTTTAACTTTGTAAGAAAACTGCCCAACTTTTTCCCATCCCATCAGCAGTGTACAGTATAAGAGTTCTAGATGCTTCACATCTTTGTCAACATTTGATATTGTCAGCTTTTTTCATTTAGACATTCAGAATGAATGAATGGATATTCAAGGGGTAGCTCATTGTATTTTAATCTGTATTTCC